TGCCACTCTGACAGTTCATCTCATTGGCGGTCTTCTTTTTTATTGACCCTCCATTTTACCAAACGTGGTGTCCTTCTCCAAAGACTACTTGTTCTTGTTAACATGCCCAAAGTGCGAGAGATGGAGTCTGGGCACCCTGGCTTCCAAGGAGCACTTTGGTTGTACTTCTTCCAACATAGATCTGTTTGTTCTTTTGGCAGCCCATAGCACTTCCAATATTCTACTCCAACACCATAACTCAAATGCATCAATTCTTCTACAGTGTACTTTTGTCATTGTCCAACTTTTCACATGTCTATGAGGCAATTGAAAATATACCGTGTCTTGTGTGAGATGCACCTTAGTCCTCAAACGTCCATGAATGTTGAATGTGAATTGAAAAAAATTCTCAAGTTTTTGACAGCTTCAATCTTTTTTCCGTGTATCTTGAAGTTATTTATTGGCCCAGTTGTGAGCATTTTTGTTTTCTTTACAGAGGTTCAACCCATATAGAAGGCTTTGGTGTTTGATCTTTATCAGTGTTTTAAGTCCTCTTTGCTACTAACAAGCAAGGTTGTATCATCTGCATATCACAGGTTGTTAATGAGTCTTTCCTCCAACTCTGATGCTATGTTCGGCACATGATCCAGCTTCTTATATATTATTTACTTATTGTACAGATTGAATAAATTGCTACATAGCGCTTACAAATCTTCATTTCCAAGCAACAATTTTTTTTCTTGGACCTGCATGTAAGTAGTCAGGTTGGCTTTGATTTTTGCAAGCAAGTTTCTTGGTGATCTACAGGGGGGATGAGTATGTTGACTATCCTTCTCTCCTGGTTTCCTTTTTCTGTTCAAAATCCACTTTCCTTCTCCAAGAAGGATAAATTCATCAGTTCCTGTGAATGATTTGTATTGCCAGAGTTATAGCCTTCTAAGATAAAAATATATTCTCATCACTACTGACAAGATGTGATTGGCTACTATTAAATGCAGTCGAGTTGGTTCAGACTAATAGTGACCCTGTATTGTGTTTCCAAGGCTTGTACATCATCTAGGGAGCCAAAAGCCTCATCTTTGTCTTGTGGAGCATTTGGCCAGCTCAAATCACGAACGTTGTGGTTCAGTCTGCTGGTTTTTGCATGGAGCTGCCGTGCTGTGCTCCTTATTAGCTAGCTCATGGACGTACATCTTCTTACATGTGTGTTTGCTAAGACACTGTATTTCTCTGAGCGTCTAGTGGAAATACTACTACTGCCCCACAGCTCGTGGTAATAGTAATATTTGTCATTGTAGCTAACACACTTCTGTAGTGTTTCGCATGTTACCTGGAACTGTTTTCAGTGTTAGTGTTGTCAAGTTGGTTCAGACTCATAGTGACCCTACATAGGGTTTCCAAGGAGCAGCTAGCTGGTGGGTTTAAACTGCTGACCTTGGGGTTCCCAGTTCAGTGCTGATCCTACAGCACCACACCAGGAGACTTTTCAGTGCTTTACGTGTATGAATTTATCCCTCCTAGAAATTCTCTGTGGGAGATGCAATTATTGTCTTTATTTTCTAGATGAAGAAATCAAAGGATAGAGAGGCTAAATAACTTGCCCAGTGTTGCTGTGTTAGACTGAGTGCTACCACAACAAAGAACCGTTGGCTGGGTGACTTAAAGTAAGAAAAGTTTCCTCTGTCACATCTTGGAGGCTGGAAGTCTGAACTTGAGGGGTCAGAAGGCTCTACTGGAGGAACCCTTCTTGTCTCTGTATAAGCTTCTGATGGTTGTTGGCCATCCTGCCTTGGTTTGTAGATAGATCACTCTGATGTCTGCCTTTATTCTTCATATGACCGCCTCAGTTTCTCCATGATCAAATGGCCTTTCTCTTGTAAGGGCACAGGCATTGTACTACACACGCCTCCCTCCCCCCCAATTCAATGGTGGCACTGGTTGTGTGCCATAGTTCTGACTCATAGCGACCCTGTAGGGAGTTCCTGAGGCTGTAAATCTTTACAGGAGCAGAAAGCCGCCTCCTCTTTCTCCTCTAATTCAGTATGACATTTTAACATGAATAATTTGCAAATAGCCTGTTTCCACATGAAGCCACATTTACATATTTTGGGGAACACAATGCCACTCCTAATAGTCATTCATATATGATGGCATTTTACAGATTACTAGTAGGCTAGTGAATCTATAAATAGCGAAAGAATTAGAAACCAGGGTATCTCCCTAACAAACTGACTTCTTAAGAACTATTGACAGGTTTCAGTTGTTGTTGTT